CTTGGTACTAGTCAGCTTGTGGAGAGGCACTGGAGTTCACTTTACAAAAATGAGCCTTTATGTGGGTTAGGCTGCAGATGACCTCAAGATTTTCAGTCATTTACTGGAAATAACACTGAGAGGAATTTACTTACTTCTTAGGGGACATTTTATCTCCTGAGATCAACAAAAATTGACTCGTTGCCATGTTGAGTGGAAATCTCTGTGCGGCACCCCTTGCAGGTTGGCTGTGCTGTAGATCACACCAACTCTGTAATGAGACAAATTATTTGGATCTTTTTAGCACTGGTCTTTGGCATTTTGAGTTTTTCTACAGCAAGGATTACAAAAAAGTACCAATATTCCTCTAAATTTATGCTTTACGCTGTGGAAATTGTTGTGGAAAGTGAAATCACATTCTTATAGGGCGCTCACACCAAGCACGAGTAAAATCATCTACTTGCTTAATTCGTGCGAATCTAGACGCGTGAATGAATGGTATTTACTCGCTTCATTACCGCGTCAATGGTAATTACAATGGTAACCCCTGCCAGTTCAACAGGCAGGAAAAACGAAAGTTTTTTACAATTTACCAGGTAATCTGACCTCCTGACTCACCTGCCCCCAGGCGAGCTCCTTTTTACTCCGGTTTTGGTAGTTAAAAGAAAAGGCACCAACACGATCAGTTTGTCCTCCATTTTAGACACCAGTGAACAACCGTCCGTTTTCATACATCACCCGGCAACCTTCGTGCTGATTAGTTATCGCGACGCGAATATACACTCAAGTTGAGACATTTTCAGCTCTCACCCAATTTGCGACATTCGCGCGGGCCAGAGTAGTAAGAGCATTTAATCACATCTTTGCATTGACTTAACATGTAATTTATTCGCGCGAATGATTTTACTCGCGCTTGGTGTGTGGAGACAGTTAGAGAAATTGTACAATGCACAACTGCAGCTCATGATTTACACGCACACATTAACGTGCTTTCTCAGAGTTAAGCAATTGATCATATCCAGGATGTGCTGTGTGTGTTTTTAAAGTTGCATCGATGCCTCTGGACGCCGTTCATCCTTTGTTCAGGTGCAATGGGGGAAAACATGCCAAAAGGTTGGGGAATCAGCTCAGAGCCCTGCCTTTACTATGCGAGTGAATGCAGTCAGTTGACCAAAATTTCATTGTGCCAAATTCATCCAGATGGCTGGGAGCCGCAAACCTGGCTGTGATCAGCTATCTCGTGCTCCCCCCTGTACATTGGCATGGATGTGCAATTGAGCTGAAATTTGTCTGGCGTCAAAATCAGTCTCAAAAATCGGGTCAAAGTCGGCTTCAGTTTGCACTATGTGTGGATTGTTTGAAATTTGCACTGTAGCTCCAAGACGCCGTGTGATCTGTGGCTCATTTTAGGAATCACCCCACACTACAGTCTCAGCTCAGTCAAAGGGAAAGGCCTCGGTCTTGCCGTGGTTTCCAGATCGTTGTGCTCAATTGTAGCTGCATCATACAAGTTGGATAGGAAAGGGAGGAATTTTCCAAAATTGCTTATGAAAGAGGTCTGGCTCAATCCCAACCAGCAGCACTAAATTTTAATTGATAGTAGCTAAAATATTGGCATGAAAATGTCTGGTAAACCACTTTGAGTTTATTTCCCTGTTCTTCTCATGAAGTACCACTTTCACCTGCTGGAGCCCCACGCTGGGCCCCATGTGGGCTCCCTGCAGGTGAAACCCAGAGGAAGAAAAAAATTGGGAATAATGTGACCATTCATAGGAACACACAAAGCCAGGCCAGACAGAACAACATGGGTGGTCAAGGTAGAGCAGCCAGGTGGGGTAAAGAGGAGGACCCGAGGAAAAGGAAGATGGAGTGCAGCATGTGGTCAACACAGCGGGAAACCCTGTGGTCATTTCACCCATGGACACACACACATACACACACCAATTGATAGACTTACTGATAACATGAAAGATGCATGGTTAGCCAAACATGAAGACAAACAGGGAGATAGGCCAGAAGCCAGATGAGCGGATAGGGGTACATGCAAGGCTACAGTCAAACACACACACACACACACACACACACACACACACACACACACACACACACACACACACAAAGACAAAAAAAAATGTGGTCAGCCTCGCCAGACAGACTGAGTTTGCTCCCCTGTGGGGTTGATCAAGGGTAAGCCAGGATACAAAGTGATTTGTCTTATTAATGTTCTCTGTCTAGGTCATAAAATCTCCCTCTTTCTCGCAACTCATGTAAGAGTAATGCTTTTCTTTTGATTTTATATTATCATCTTATCTCCCAGCCAACCATTGATCATCTGTGTCCACTAGAGGTGAATAATAAGAGAAAGCTTGTGTGTTTAAAATTTCAGCAAAACATTATGCTGTCTAAAGGTCCACATGTTTGATGTGATACAGGTAAAGCAAAGGGATGCAGGTAATATAAAGCAATGTTAGGGTTAATATTTCATTTGCAAGATCGCTTATATCTTTTATAAGGCTGTGTCAAGCACACCACACAAACCATCCATCTCACAAGTAATTTCATCCCATATTCAGCCTTCACATCTGTGTGAGGCTGTTTTCAATGTTGTACCCGCTCACCACACAGTTTCTAATAAAACCCAAACTCATCCCACGGGATGCAAAAAAAAAAAGACACTTATTGCTTTATGGATGTTTTTAATCTAAAAAAATGCAAATACAGGTACTCAAGTGTTGACTGAGCAACCTTAGATGACTTATTAGATTCTGCTGAACACTACAAAAGCATTTTTATCAGTTTTAAACATTTAACAAGACACTTGAAACTGACAAAACCATCAAACACCCTTTTATTCATACTGAATGTCCAAGGCAGTGAATACAAACCAGATGTAAGACTTCGAGATGAAAAAGAGGAATTCTTTTACTGTCTGAGCATCTACAAGTTATATATTTCCTAATCTATACTTTACCAAAAGTGGGTTATTAGATTGAGCTGCTTATAGATCATGGATTACTGTCCGGCCCTTGCCTTTTAGTCATTAAATGATAGATAATACCCAACTCAAGATTTCAATGAAAAATGGTGTTGATCGCCTTGTAGCTCCCTTGTTTCTGCTTTGGATCCCAGCGCAGTTTTGCCTGGTCCAAATACTTCTAATAATAGGAGGATAAAAAGCCAATTAATATTTGTATCATGCTGGAATAATGACTGTCATTAGAAGTTGATAGTCAAATTTGATTTGACTGTGAAAACACGTTTGCTTTACAGGCAATGGCTCAGCTACTCCAATTGGTGTCACTTTTAAAATAAATATATATATTAATTTTTTTTTATCATGTATATACAGTATTTATATATTTGCACATTTTTTTATATATATTTTGTATCTCACTGCATAAAGTGTCATCTTATGGCATATTTTTCAGATTTTCCTCAGGCCTAATATTGACAGGAAAACATGCTTCTGTTCGGGTTTAAAATGTTCCAGCTTGTTGGAAAATAAACTCTGCTCGGCTCTCTGGATCTGTTTTAAAAAGTTACAACACTATGGTTGTTCATCCGTTTCGTATGGAAATTCAGTATAGACTTTGCTGAAGTCACAAAGTCCATGTGCAAACACTCACTCAGGCACAAGCCCAAACACAGGATATGTGCATACATTACAAGCTAACATACAGCTAAAGCCTGTGTACAGTCAGTCTTTTGGCTGTTATCCAAAATAGAGCCCAATGTTTCTGCTTGCAAAGGGTTGTTTAGAGAGTTTGCCTCACTGTGCGTCTAAGCAGGCACTCCGCACATCGAACTATATGCATTCCACATGTATTAATTGGGTATCAGATACAATTGATCAAAAACACCTCTATGTTTACTCCATCAACTGTATCGAACACAGACCCAGTCCCTGTGACATCACCCATAAGGTGGAGGTTTTAAAGCCCGATGATCAAAATGCTGTCTCTATCTCTTATCTGGAGATAAGGCAGGCTTTTAGTTTCCTTGAAAACAGCAACAGCACTCCTACTTCTTCATCATAGCCATGAGTAGGCATATTTATGTATCTCTTGGCCTTGATGTGCTTAAAAAATATTCAGCCCCAGTACAGAATGTACAAATCAAGAAATGGGCCATATAACAAAAAATTGTTTTTTTTATATTAGGTTGCACATTCTGCTGCATTTTAATATGGGACTTAAGGGGATTCATTAGCTCCGCAGGTGGCCCCAAGTGGACATTCCAGGAACTGCATTTTTTAAAATTATTATTATTATTATTATTATTATTATTATTATTATTATTATTATTATTATTATTATTATTATTTTGCATTGGCTTTATTAACACAAAAGTTGCCACTTGCTTTATTCATGCATTTATGCACATATCAAGAGTTGTGTCACCAAATACCGTAATATCTTTAAAAGTTACCTGAGTCTTTTAGATGTTTCACTGTTTATTGTTAGATAGATAGATAGATAGATAGATAGATAGATAGATAGATAGATAGATAGATAGATAGATAGATAGATAGATAGATACTTTATTAATCCTGCAGGGAAATTCAAATTTTAATTAATTTTCATACTTTTGATGACTTTCTGCTCAACTACTCCAAACTTAAATAACCTTTTTTTTTTTTTTTTTTTTTTTTTTTGTAAATAAGCTACAGAACTTTATGATTGTTGCAGTAAACTGGGATCTGCACAGTGGCTCCATGCAGGAGCAATGTTATCTGTTCATCCCTGTTCATCTAAGCCAGACTATAATGGTGCATTATTACACTGTGGTGTGACAATCCAATCTGATGGCAGAAAAAACTCCACCCAACCACATTGGGAGTGGAAAGATTTCATGCAAATGCCTTCTCTCTTTGCTAAATCAGGCAAGGGGGAAACGTAGCATTGCACAATGGCTCTGTTGTATTATTAGCCCCTCAGAGGAAGCAGCAATTGTCGGATCAGGCTCCAAAAAAAAGAGTAAAGTAAGTCTGGGAAAATATCAGCTTCCTGCCCATGACTTCAGGGTTTATCCTGAGTAAGTGTCTGTGTCTGCCTTTCTCACTGCTTCACACACTTTCTGACCCTGTTTCCCCTCCTCCTCCCTCCACACCACCCCCCTCTCTCCCTCCACAGTTATTTGGCCGGCTTCTTGTTTACCTAGATCAAACTTGTCAGGGAAAGCCGAGTGAGTTTAAACAAACACACGCGCACAAACACATGCACGTAAGGACACACACCGATCGAAATTAGCTGGCATGGAGCTAACACAAATCTAAAGACATCACTGCTTGAAAAACCATCTGCACTAGTATCTGATTCTCGTCTGCTACACCAGAGATTATTGCTGTAATTTATGCTGACATAAATAAATCATTTGAATCTGCATCTCAGTGAGTGTGTATGTCTGCGCACACATGGGAGATGAGCTGCAGCAAGCAAGGCAGAGAGGCTGTAAGGGAGTAATAGTGAAATGAGAGACAGACAGTATTTCATTTTATTATTATTATTATTAGGGACTCTAATGGTCAGATTTGGTTTCTCATGAGCTTTTCTCAGCCTCCAACGCTTAGTGGGAGCAAGAAGCTCTCAGAAATGAGAAGGGAGGGATAGAGGGTAAGAGAGGATAAGAGAGGAGAGGGAGGGGGGATACCAGGACATCTCCTTCCAACTTATCTGGTTGGTAGCCAGTCTGTATCTCCCCAGGGCTGCACACACTGTCTGTCTGACCTCAACTGAACTCAGCTGTAACAGTAGTCCCACCGCTGATGATGTGGAGCTGAAAAGATAGGAGGCTTGAAGAGATCTACAGAGAGAGACGGATGGGGGTGAGGAGGAGGAGAAGGAAGAAAAAAAGAGCTCCCTGCATGTTCTGCATGTTCCTCCGTGATGAGGCAAAACCCTAGACAACCCCACCATTCAATTAGTGTAAAGAAATGGGGTTATACTGGAACAGCTCAAAGCGCCAAACTCAGAAAACAAATCAAAGCTGGGTGATGAAAGTAAAACTAAATTTACATCAGAATCAGTTTCATGAAATGCTTGAGTCACGTTTCCAGCAATTATGATTTTACTTATAGATTTTTTTTTTAAGATCAAATGCTAAAAATGACATAGTCTGTAACATTTTGGTCATTAAAACCTCTTCACAAAAAAAAAAAAAAAAGAAAACTGTTGTTTTGGGAGCTGTTGAAATATGTATTTCCTTGCTGACATTAAGATTTGGGAATGTAGCAATACCTCACAAGATACTTGAAGATTGGTAAACACAGAGGACAATTTAAATCAGTGAAGTGAAAAATAAATTGCAAAACTCTCTTTTTTACAGCAGAGGGCACTTTATGCCTCTGACTGCTTTTAGTCAAAGTCATTATGTCTCTAACACTTGCAGCTGAAGAGAAGCACACTAACATGGTGGCAGAAGGTGAAGATTTAACAGCTGAGTCATGTATTTTCCACAAATAGACAATATTTGTTGGCCTTCCAAGGTACCATATAAACCCAAACATAAATACACAAAATACATCTGAAAAAGTGTGATCATCTTTTATTTGCGTGGTCTCATATTTAGCAGTCCAATGCCAATATTTAGTATCATAGATGGCGCCATTTATCTGTAGAGCCAGCATGTCCCTCATAACTGAGGCAGGCAGGAAATAAAGATGAAGAGACACAGAGGTCAGAGCAGAGAAGCTCAGAAGTAGGGCAAGTTATCAATAACTGAGGGGAAGTTTTGAGACATGAAATTACTGTCAAAAAAACAAACTTCCATCCAGAAGACGACAGGTTCTTAATTTATCATGGTACTGAAATACAACAGCACATTTATGGTGTTTATGAAATGGACTGAGATTCATATTGATGCCTTTTCATGGTATCCAAAAGCAAACAAGACCAGCAGGGACAAGACAAACAACTAGTATAATGTCATTTTTAGTACCTGAAACAGGGTTGTCCCGATACAATTTTTTGCCGATATGATACCGATATTGTAGCCTTCAGTCTTGTCCGATACCGATATTGATCTGATATTAGCATAAACTTGTGCATGATAAGTTTTGCAGTCAGCTGCAGAGTCTTTTTCAGACTTTAGGGAAAAATACTGCCACAGGGTCAACATCACTCCTACTCCTTGGTACTTTGTTAGTATCTTAGTACACACTGTTGTTGTGATCACATGGGCTCTACATGCTGAATCTGGGTGCAGCGAGATAGAGGTGCTGGAGCGGAGTCTGGAATGGACTGCTTGTATTGGAGTGCTGATATCGGAGATTTTAAATGCAGGCCGATATAACCTGATGTAATTTTTTTTGTTGATATCGTACCGATATCCGATATCAATATCATATCAGGACACCCATAACCTGAAACCAGTGAAAGGGGGTAGGTGTCAGTCAAGCGGCCCTGTTTTTACAGCTTCCTTGTGAAACATTCCCAATGAAAGAGGCGTATAATTGTCAAAAGGTGATGGGATGAGTTTTTTGACAATAGACATGACTGAAGCATGTAGAGAACAAGAAAAGAAAGACTGCTTTGTCAACAAGGGGCGCCAAAATTGACACAACCTGAAAGCTCCTCACAGAAGCTTTAAAACTCTGTACTTTGGTATCTTCCCAACCCCAGTGTGCGTCGGTGTTTGTAGGCTACAAAGGAATGCCAGAATGCATTTCTGGCTATGTACTGATTAATTTAGCCCATCCATCACCTCCTAGTTTGCTGTTTCTCTGTGAATGTATTTAGGGTCTGGTAGACTGATTTGCTTTTTTGAGTGATTACAGTACATCTATCATCAGAACCTGAAATTAGGTAACCCTGGTGTAAGAAACTACTAAAATAAAAGCATCATCAGTGACTGTTTTATGAAACAATTTATACATTAAAGACTGAACATAAACTGGGTTGTGTACATTTGTAAGAAAATAAATCATAATCAGTTCAAAATGCCCATGAGAGAAAAAAAGTAGGAAAATAGCTCATAGTTTAAATGAGTCAAACAAACAGCTGCAGCGGGGATGTGAGTGAAATAAACATTTAGGTTGATGGAAAAAGTTGAGATCTACTGTTGAATGAAAAGCAGGGACAGATTGTGATTCGAGGCCAAGGACAGAAAGGGAGGACCAGGAGAAAAGATATGAGAAGGAGGGAAACAGCAGTGGCGGAAAAGCAGAGTGGGTGTTCATGAGCCTAAGACATAGTGAGGAGAAAGATGGAGTTGGCACCAGGGAGCAAAGGTAAGAGAAGGCGAGTGATGAGTTTGTAGGAAGAGTTCAGCAAAGGCCTTGGATCCAATCAAAAGACTGTTTTTGATTCTGTTTTTCCATTTCACCCAAAATAATGTTTCAACAGTCACTTGCTCATAGCTTAGCACCAACCTTGGTCTTTGAATGGGTACTCGTTTGGAGGAAAGCACTTCTCTGTGGCCTCAGATGAACTGTGCAAGCGCTCAATGCAGCTGCAGCTCAGGGAGCCGAGCATGGGGGGATTAGCTAACCTTGTTTCACTCTGGCAACTCAAGAAGAATTATACAGACTTATGTGATTTAGAGCTACATACCTGGTTAATTCTGTAGATATTTGACCTCAAAATGTGTTGAACTGAACCCGTTTAAGTCTTACCATTTACTAAGGCTGATTTTGGTTTTTTAAAATGCTTATTTTTGGTAAAGCACACTGCCACGGAAATGTTCAGAGAAGTATTGGTAACAACCACCCAGCTTCTCATTCCTGGTTTGTTTATTTGCCTGTTTCTTCATGAGATGGTCTAACAAAGAGAGATTACACCTGAAATCCAGCTCAAACCACAGTGATTCTCATAAGTTTTAAAACATTGAATAGGATCAATACAAAGAGTCCGAGCAGGACAACAACAAGAAAAGCAGCGAGCTCTAAAACTGTGTGAGGTCTCAGAGGAAGCTCTGTTTACAAAAAGAGAGCCAGAATATCATGCAAAAACAAGCTGCATGCACACACAATACTGTACGGTCACGCTTTATTAAGAGCACATGCACAGGTGTCCCACATGTGCACAGGGTCAAAGTAAACACACAAAGTGGAACAAGCAATTCCTCAGAGACAAACTTATTTTGCAGAAGCAGACCAAAAAAAAAAATTCAACTACAGCAAAGTGTCGAAATTTCCGACAAACTGGTAAACAAATGCAACTTTAGCATAAATGCAAAGTTTCTCAAAAACCACAAAGTTGTAAATACACATGGAGCTTTTAACAAATGCATGACACAAACAGCCTGCATGTAACGTATCAGGCTTTGCACAAACTCATACATATATGCATTAAGGTTCTCACATGCACACACGTGCAGCACGGCTGTCTGCCTCCCACATGCAGTGTCTGTGACGCAGAGGAAAAGTCATTAGACCCGTGCTTCCTCTCCAAACAGAACAGAAAGAAAAGAGCGCCTGACATGAAACACACAGGAAATGTGTGGGTGACTGCTTCTGTGCATGTGTGTCTGCGTTTCTGTATGTGCACATGCACACTTCTGGTCTGAAGTTCTGCCCCTAGGACTGGTGACCAATGCCTTTAATAGCTTGCCTTTGATTGCTCCCATTGTAAAGACTGCAGCTACAATTACAGTCATTTTAACACACAGCAAAGAGTCGACTCACTTAGCTGACTAAGTTGACCTCAATTTCCAGGTTTTTAACTAAAATCATAAAAGCTCCCACAGTAATTATTATTAGGTTAATATCTATTTCAGAATAACACTTACTTAAAACTGCGCCGCAAAGATGGATAGTGAAAGAATATTGTGAATCATACAAAATTAACCGGATAGGTTAATAGCTAGAGCAACATTCTTGATTCACCTTAATATAATGACGCATTAAACAAAGGTAGGCAGGGTTTAGTGTGTATGCTAGATCATAATGAGAAAGTCGTGTTGAGGAGGCAGCAAGCTAAGAGAAATTGGCGCCTAAAATTGGCAGGAGATTTTTGTATTTCACAAGTTTCATTTCTCCTTGCACAAAGGTACAAACAGCCAGAGCTTCTGCTTTTTCAGGGGCCTCATAGTTCTAATTGTGTAACTAATCACTTGACATATAGGGCGTGTGTGTGTGTGTTGATGTGCATGTGTGCGTCTTCCTACACAGGAGCTTTAATTTTGCATAACCACCTTGTGTCTCGCTGACTCTGTGTGGGTGCATATCTGCAGCCTTAGTACTGTCTGTCTGTCTCTATAAGAATGCAGTCCATATATATGTGTTGAGTAGGTGTATGTATATGTGTGTGTTTTCCTCTCCAAATTGGCCCCGAGACAGCTGAAATAAATGATCTAGTGCAGCAGTCAGTCAAAATAGGTAAGGGAAGGAGTCTAGGAGAGAAGAACATAAAAAGGGAAACAGGAGCTCACAGGAAAAAACAGATAGGTAGAAAGGAAAAGATAGAAGGAGGCAAAGGGTGAATCCTGGGGTTCGAGCATCTGCTGAAGCTTCGGGAAACTCAATCATTTCAAGGCTGAAGGTGGAAGTCTTACCTGTCTGCACTGAATCATGCCAACATATGGCACCCACACACAAACACGCTAATACGCATGCACAGTGTCAGGAAGACAACGGAGACAGGTGAAGGACAGCTTTCCTGACTTCCACACAAACACAAACACACACGAGTTAATTTGGACGCTGCCTCTCCTCTCTGCCTACCTCTGTCATGAACATCTGTCACCTCAGCAGGATCCAAACTGATAATAAACATGCAAACGCATGCTCACACACACACACACACACACATGCACGCACGCACACACACACATTCCTTCCCTCTCTTGCCTTATCTCACAGGCACACCCCCTTCAGTCAAAACAGAGGGCTAAATTTGGCCAAGTCTCCCTATAAATCAAGCCTCCAGTAACCGTGTCACTGGTTGAGTATTTAATCACTGTCTCTCTCCATACACACCTGCACCCACAGCCACCCAGCTCCTGATCTCTGGTGTGTTTATTTACCTGATTATTATTTCTTTTTTCTATTTGAGTCATCTTTGCGGCACAGACTATCCATGTCCATACCATAACTTCAAACTGAGCCAGTAATAAGCTGCATAATGTTGGAGCTATGACAGCTGTTTCCCCTCAGACTGCCCTCGGGTCTGACTTTCTTTACTATTAACAGCAAACAGCCCATCAGGTGCTGTTTATTGGCATGTGAAAAGGGAAAAGGAAACGGTTTCTGCGTGCAAAGTTCACCTGTGAATAATGGAAATCCCCAGACACAGCAGACTCTGCAACAAGCAGGTGCTACTGACTGTAATCTTCAACTGCTGAGCTTGAGGGTAAACTCTTTACATTGCACTCTTCAAAGGGTGTTGAAGTTAAATTTAGCTCTTCCAAGAAGTCTGGGTCCCTTTGAATCATGTTGCTCTCTACACGTCTTATTTTTTTACTTTTATTCAGCCAATTTGGATCCAAGTCAACCTTTTATATCTCAAAATGCTGACATCCCCATAACATGCTGTTCTAAAACATGTTGATGCGTCCTGAAATTGACGTACACGCTGTTTCAAGAGGATATTGTGGTGGTATAAATGAAGCCAAAGGTCACATCATGTTGTTAACCACAGAAACAGAAACCAATGTCACAACACCTACAACAACTAAAGGTTAACCTTTATAGATATCCACTATTTAGATTTGAACATTAAAATAAACACCCTTTAAGACATTTAATGCCTGTTTTTTTAACTATATAAGTATTTTTCTGACCTGCCTCTTCTGGCTGATTTTAAACTGTTGTGAAAGTCTCCTCCTTCTCACTTTCACACTCAGACTTAGTTTTGCAAGTTTCTGAAATTTCGACATTTGATATGATGATTCCTTTTTCTAACTGTCACAAAACAAACTTCACACAAGTGTTGTAACAGCTTTGCTCTGAATTTTTGCAAAAGTGCTACTGAAATGTCAGTGACAAGTGTGGGAAACTGCACATGCTTTTGTGCAGAAAGCGGGGTGGGAGGATTGCAACAGATGGTAACCCATGTTGCTTTTGCCCTCTTATTTACTTTTGATTAACTGCAACATATTTTACATTTACATTCGGTTCTTTATTTCCGATGTTCTGCTTAAAAAATAAAGCAATAAGAAAGTGATTGCAATAAATTAAACCAGTGTTTTTCATTTTCCGGCGCTGCTCTAAAACACTGCCAAATTATGTGTATATTCATAATTTTTGTATGTTTTTATGCATTGAATATTACCATCTAATTGCATCATAAATTCAGGGAACAGGGTAGCTGTAATTTAAAAGGTTATTAGTGTATATTGCCAGTAAAAAACACATTAGCTTGGTGTCTCACCTTGGCAATCCAATTCCCCTGCACATTCCCTTCGAAGAGGTCTGGAGCCAGTGAGGATTCCTCTAGTGTTAATTAAACCGTCTGTCTTGGAGAGAATTAAGGTCGTGATCTCCCAGACCTCACCACTCCCACTCTCCCTGAGAAGAAAAGAGAGAAGAAAAGAGACTTAATGAAGGAATAAAAGGATGAAATGACTTAATGAAGCGCCTAACGAGGCCTGCGGCCGTTTAATAAGGGCTTATTAAAGCTTAATTAGAGCAATAATCCAGCTTGTTTGGAGTCAGTCAGTGTTGACTTGTGGCTGATTGTGTTTTTTATGGCAACCAGATAAACAAGGAAGCATTGTCATTCTGCAGGAAGGAAGACAATCTCAACACTATGTGTCCATGCGCATGTGTGAGTGTGGACCCGACAGGAGATTCTGAAATGATTAGGAGAGAGTCTCAGGCGACTTTGCGATAACACAGAGGCCCTGAACTCATCACCTCGTCACATGTTGAAGTTTAATTTAGATCCTCCATCAAAGTCTTTCTTATTGCATATATCCTTCTGAACAGTAAAACAACTAAACCCAAAGCAGACCTCAAGAAAAATATGACTATGATTATGATAGCAGTGCTGCTCTGTGGATGTCAGGGCTGCCCCTTTTGGTAGCCCTTAATGGTCAACTTTTCAAAGTAATGGACCGCATCTGTGAGATATAGCCTCTTCACACTGGCAGAGCACTCCTGAAATTACCCAACATGACCCGTGTGGGCAGTGTGCAATAACATAAATGTCTGTATAGCAGATTTTTTTCCTGCAAGCTTCTTATGATGAAGTTTACATGATGTCCTAGTAGATCAGTGCTTGAGCACAGTCAATGATTAATACGTTCACACTCTGCTAGTGAGTGGGTGTTGTTGATGTTACCTAACTGTTTGCCTGAGTTTCTTGAACAACTTATTGTAATACATTGGTCTCTATTAACCCCGACAAAAGATATCCTCCTCTTACACACCTCCCTCTACGTGGAAACCCAAGTATTTAAGGTAGTAAGAACTATCTTCTGCCATGGCACACATGTGAAAGGGTTGGCTGGCACCATCTATGTCCTAGTTCATATGAAGCCTAGTTTGAACATAGCAGGCAGAGATTGCAGGCATGAATGACAGTTTAATCTCACGCCAAACTCTCAGCACTTTAAATCCTCCATTAAATGTGTGTTATCATCATGTATTGTTTTGAATGCTGTGATAATTTAGAGGATGAGTGATAACTTATATGATGACTAGGATTTGTACTCACTGTTTAGTTTTTCCCATTTAAAGATACTTTTATCTTCCAAAAAAACACACAAAAAAAAAGTACTGTTCATTTTAGGTGTGTTGGAGTTAACACTTGTTTTTTGATACTATTTATATTTTTATTAACACCTAAACTCTTTCTTTTCTCATGTTTTACCTTTTTGGTTGTTATTAGCAGGACTAAAAAAGGTATTTTTATCCTTTAACCAGTTCATAGACTATCGCACACGAGAAAACTCTTAACAAATGCCCTATTGAAGAGGTGTTTTCATGGATTTGAAGTGATAACACATCTGCAACAACATTTTAATAATCGATGCTACGCTTAAGTTTGGATGAATCCTAAATGTTTACGGTGCGTCCAAACAATGACATGACTACTGTTAGAAACTAGTTTCAACCATAGTCCATAGAGTACATGGCTGTTGTCTCAGTGAAGTCTGCCATTAGTCTATCAGCAGTAGTCACCATATTAGAAATGCTGACTATGTCCCGGTGAGCACAAAAACATGTTTATTTTTACTATAAAGATAGGCCCCTGTGAGTAAGTGTGTGTTCAGTGTCTCTGCTTTTGCAGCCAGCCTCAAGTGGACACTTGAGGAACTGCTGTTTTTTCTCACTTCCACATCAGCACCATTTCTCAGGACCAGAGGTCACCGCTCAGTTTCAACATTTGGTTTTTAGATCGGACTTGTGAGGGGAGCTTGTTTTTTTTTCAATCCCTGTGTGAGGACTGGAGATTCACTTAAATCAAAGGAATGTATTCTTACTGTAGTGAATGGGTTGTTTATTTTGTACTTAGGGTCTCATATACTGGCTATCTGTGCTAGCCTGAGACTATAGCAGCCTACAGTGGGATCATATTTTCGGATGTGATACGGGGAAGTCCCTTTATGAACCTCCGCACATGAGTCAAATGGTTGGTACAGCCCTGGTGATTCAGCCAGCAGACTTCTTTCCTCTTTGGTTCAAACACAATCCTTCCTCTTAGGACACAAGTGTGACTCACGTGAGTCACAGAGCAAGTCACATTGAGGATTATGGTATACGGGGCACTGGGGGCTTCAGATTTTATTATTATTCAGACAGTGATGCCATCACCCCACAGAGGCCTGAGTCAAACACAGCATGTTGTGCACCTGTACGTGAAAGCTGAACTGCTCTCACTACTACGAGTCTGATCCTTCTCATTTGAGTCATTCATTTTAAATCAGTGATTCAGATTAGTAAGGCCCACAAGCCCATATATGGGAGTACGAAATCCAGTGGTCCAATAACAGGAGTTACTCACTCTTTTTCCTGATCATGTGGGAACCCACTGGATGAGCCATCTCCTGAGCTGTACACGCTGCATGCACATAAATCTTAATTCAAATGGATGACATCATAAACATGACCACTCTCTACAGTATATGCGTGAGTAAGAGGCACAACATGTAGATAAAGAAACTAGATGACTGCTTGAAATGGTCTCAGTTATATTGACAGCAATCTCAGAACCCAAAGGCTGGAGTCTCACAATGATCCAGTCTACAAGAATGATGGCTGTAACCAGCACTTAGTCAGATAACAATACAGACCTTAATGTCCTGGCTTGAATGTCCTGAAGCATTTTCCGGTAAATGAGTGGTTGCTTGTGTTAACTGGCACTTGGATACATTGTCATAGCAGCAGATTGATGGCTGTCCAAGAGCTGTTTGTAGATTTTAATAAAAAGCAAATGGTTTGACATAGGGCTGGGCGCTAAACCGAAAATTTACCGATATCTAATTTTTTTTTTTACAACAATAACCAATGTCATTTTGCCCATGTCAATATATTCAGTGTCAAAAAAATAAATAGATAAAAGTTGGTTATGGATGTGTGTAGGTAGGCTATG